CCTGTTATGCTGTGATTGACAGCCTGTTATGCTGTGATTGACAGCCTCTTACACAGTGATTGATGGCCTGTTACACTGATTGACTGTCACGCTGTGATTGACAGCCTTTTGAGATTGACGGTCTATTATCCTGTGATTGACTGCCTGTTACGCTGTGATTGACAGCCTGCTTGTTATGCTGTGACTGACAGCCTGTTATGCTGATTGACAGCATGCTTGTTATGATGTGATTGACGAGTGGGCAGGACTTTTATATTCAAAGTTCTCCACAAAGAACAAACTTGGCAGCACCTAAAATCCTGATATTTGGTTCAGTCATTGAAGACGTGTCATCCATCTTTGTTCATGTTAGTGCACGTGACGCACTAAAGGTTAGAGGCGGGGCTATGGCATCATCATTTTTGTAAAGGTGAGTTTTGGCTGTCAACACAAAGACATGTGGGTGGCAGTTTAAGAAATTTTGGACTTTGAAACCTGTTTTTTAAACATCCTAAACCCAGTTTAAAAACAAACTGAAAAGATGGGGGCAGCTGGAATGTTAGAATCTGATGTTTCTTCAGCCTTAGTCTCAAAGGTCATTGAGGGACCTAACAGCTTTGTTCAGGTTGCTGTAGAACTCCACCATGCTGGAAGGAAAGAAGGAGTCCACCACTGACCGAGGGAGGAGACCACCCAGGTCTGTCTGGAAGAAACTCAACACCTGGGTTTTGTTTGGCTCTCTGGAAAAAAATGGAAAACAAACCAGATGAATTAGTGTCAGTCTGTTAGACCCAAACTCATCCAGCAGGAAAATGATTCTAGGTTTTCAATCTTTAGTACATATATAATTCTAAAGTGTGGTGTGCATTAATATTCACCCCCCACCACCACCCAAGTCAATAGAACCACCTCTGGCTCTCCACCAGCTTTACATGTCTACAGATTGAAATTTTGACCCATTCTTCTGTGTAAATCAGCTGCAGCTGTGTCTGATTGGACAGAGAGCACCTGTGAATGTCAGGTTTTAGGTCTTACCATATTTGGACTCAGGTTCTGGACTCTGGACCTTTCTAACACATGAACATGCTTTGATCTGAATCAGTCAGTAGCCCTCACCCCAATAAGTTGCTAAATGCTTCGAAAGACTGGTCATGGCCCACATCAAAGCTACACTCAACATCAGTGAGGACCCTCACCAGTACGCATTCCGCAAGAATCAATCAACAAAGGACACCATCTCCTCTGTGGTCCACACTGCTCTCACCCAACTGGAGCAGAAGAACTCCTACCTCCGTATGTTCTTTGTGGACTTCATGTCTGCCTTCAACACCACGATTCCCCAGATCCTGATGGACAAACTACTCACACTAGGACTAAGCCCCTCCATTTGCAACTGGGTCCTGGACTTCTTAACAAACAGGCCACAGTCTGTGAGGACCCGCAACTTCTCCTCCTCCACCATAACCCTCAGCACTGGCTCCCCCCAGGGATGTGTGCTGAGCCCCTTCCTGTTCACTCTGCTCACGTATGACTGTGCACCTACTCATCCAGGCTGTCATATTGTAAAGTTTGCAGATGATACAGCAGTGGTTGGATGCATCACAAACAATGAGTCCAGCTACAGGCAGGAGGTGGAACACCTGGAGCGATGGTGCAGGAAAAACAACCTTCACATTAATGAAATAGTCGTGGATTTCAGACGGAGCAAACACACCTACCCCACCCCCGCCCCAACCGAATATAGGAGAATCTACAGTAGAAGTAGTCTCCAGCTGAAAGTACTTGGGTGTGCACCTGAATGACAACTCAGCTGGGGCAACAACACCACCAGACTGATCAAGAAAGCTCATCAGAGACTCTACTTCCTCAGGCGGCTGAGACGAGCTGGTCTGGGAAGCTCAGTCCTCACCTCCTTCTACAGGTGTGCAGTGGAGAGCATCCTGTGCTCCAGCATCAACGTGTGGCATGGAGGCTGCACAGCTGCAGAAAGAAAAGTTTTGCAGAGTGGTGAAGGCTGCACAGAAGTCTGTTGGAGTCAGCCTCTCTACCATCACAGACATCTACACCTCTAGATGCAGGAAGAGGGCCACCTGCATCATGAAGGACCCCACTCACCCAGCACGCACACTTTTTGCCCCGCTCCCCAATCCGTCCAGAAGACCTGATTCAACCTTGTTAGATTCATCTTCCTGGATTATTGAGCATGTATCGAAACAAGTCCAGATGTTCTGAGGTAGCTTCAGTGTAATTGATCAGCAAAAAGCAATCACCCTCTGTCTGACACATCTGTGATGGGATATTCATAGAACACCAAGACTCTACTTTAAGACTTTATTGTTACTGTTCATAAAATATGATGTCAAATAATTTTAATAACCTAACAGATGGAATCGTAAATTACCATCAGATGATATTGCCTCGCAATCTGGACCTTTCAGAACCTTTACACCTCTCTGGTTATCTCTACCACAAACACAGGACACAAACCAAGACGATAAACAGACATCGTCTTCACTAAGTCCTGGCTCTGAGAAGTTTTATCTGGAGCATTCTAGAACCACAGATAGTCCTGATACCTCAGTTACTAAAGGCTGCCGGGCCGGCTGGGTTTGATTCAGGGGAACCAGAGAGGGGGGTGGAAGTGGGTGAAAACTAATGCACACCACTCTGTTCAGATTGTTTTGTAGAAATTAAGAAAATTAAGCAGAAATCGGTTCTTTCTGTCATGATTTACTTTGAGTTGGTTTGTCATAAAGTCCAGAAAATCATAAGAAGTTTAAAAACTGACTATGTGTGTGTGTGTGTGTGTGTGTGTGTGTGTGTGTGTGTGTGTGTGTGTGTGTGTGTGTGTATGTGTGTGTGTGTGTGCATGTTCTTACCCAGACACAGGAACACAGATGCAGCCACATGCATGATTAAATCCTCTGACAAACCCCGGCTGAGGAGGACAACTGGGATGGACCACATTCATGGCTGAGGACAAAAACTCACATTTAGATGTCCGATCAACTTTATTTATAAAACACTTCAAACAATCATAAAGGATCAACGAGCTGTACAACATTAAACAGAAAATTAAAAACAGAAAACAGACAAATTTCATTAAATAATAAAACCTGGTGAAAAGAAAAGAGATCAGAGAACATCACAGCTTAAAGAGCAACTCTTAAAGGAAACAGAACAGACTTAAAAAACTGTCATGAGGAAGTTTGTTTCACATTTTAGGAGCTGCTGCAGCAAAAACATGACCCCCCACCCCCGCCGACAACTACCGGTAACTTACTTACTGATAAATTAAAATATAAAAGTAAACCCATGGTAAATGGGACAGAACAAGTCGTTACGCACCGTTTGAGGAGATGCTGCCGTCCTCATATTGTTTGACTAAAACAACATCGACAAAGTCTCGAGGAGCGATGATCCCCATCATCGCTGAAGGTGTGACGGTTCTGCACACCGAATAATCCTGAAAACAAAAACAACAAACATGACATTTGACTTGATATAATGAACTTACATAACCTTGTACAATAAAGACTTTTCTGATAAAACACATTAGTCTAAAGTTTTTATTTTAGCTGCCATTTAAACATTGTTTTGAAATTCCAGGTGAAATTTTTTAATTAATCATTTGGTTAAATAGATAAAGACACAAAACAAACCTCAGAGATTTGTTCCAGAAGCTCAAACTTCTTGACGTTGTTGTCCCACTGGACCCGGAGTCCACCAGGAACCGGTTTCAGACACTCCCAGACTTTGTCAGGATGGCTGCTGATGATGCCATCACCTTTGTAGCTACCAATCAGAACATAGACATAGTCAGGTAAGCATCTTCATTAGTGGAGCAGAAACACAGATAAAAATAATTAATAATATGGTCACACTGACTTCTATATTTCATGGCCTTACTTCCCTTCCCTTGACCCTACAAGTACCTGGTGGTGCTGCCAGACCAGAGCTGTAAATAAGAATCTGTTCTTAGTGTTTATGCCTGGTTAAATAAAGGTGAAATGAAAAGAAAAACTATATCAGTATTTATATCATAAGAACACCATCAGAACTTACTGTGGACTCAGGGACCCAGTAGGACCCTGAGCCTGGTGACCTCTCAAGGACCAGATTTAGGGCTTGAAACTGGGTTCAGTGTTCTGATATTTGGAAACCTTCAACACTGAGCTCATTTAAACCAACAGGTCAAAGGTCATGTCACCACTGGTTCTGCTGCCGTAGCTTTCTAACAGACTTATGGACCCAGGGCTCCATAAATAATGATATGACCGACTGTGGCAGAAATTAAATATAGAAAAAATAAATCAGCAACAAACTGTTTCTGACTAAACTTTATATGTTTATCAAACATTCTGCTGGGAGAACATAAACCAACACATTATTGTTAAACACTTTTGTTGTCTGTAGATGACAACGAGATCTGTGGCGAGAACAGGGAACAGGTGGAAGAGAACTTGGAGAGGTGGAGGTATGAACTTGAAAGAAGAGGACTGAAAGTCAGCCGTAGTAAGACAGAGTACATGTGTGTGAATGAGAAGGAGTCCAGTGGAACAGTGAGGCTACAAGGAGCAGAAGTCACAAAGTTGCAGGACTTCAAGGACTTGGGGTCCACTGTCCAGGAAAATGGGGAGTGTGGTAAAGAAGAGGTGAAGAAGAGAGTCTAGATAGGATGGAGTGGATGGAGAAAAGTTTCAGGAGTGATTTGTGTCAGCAAAGGTAAAAAAAAAAGTTCACAAGAAAGAGGTGAAACGAGCTATGTTGTACAGTCTGGAGACAGAGACATGGACAAAAAGACAGGAGACAGAACAGGAAGTAGCAGAAATGAAGATGTTGAGGTTCTCCTTAGGAGTGACAAGGATGGATAAGATTAGGAATGAGATCATCAGAGGTACAGCACAGGTTGAACAACTGGAAATAAAGTTAGAGAGGCCAGACTGAGATGGTTTGGACATGTCCAGAAGACAGAGGGACAGTGGGAATATTGGTAGAAGGATGTTAGAAAAGCAGACGATACAGCAGTGGTTGGATGCATCACAAACAATGATGAGTCCAGCTACAGGCAGGGGGTGGAACACCTGGAGAGTTGGTGCAGGAAGAACCTTCACATCATTGTGAAGAAGATGGAGGAGACGGTCGTGGATTTCAAACAGAGCAAACACATCTACCCCCCCACCCCTGAACATAGGAGAATCTGCCGTGGAAGTGGTCTCCAGCTACAAATACTTGAGTGTGCACCTGAATGACAACTCAGCTGGGTCAACACCACCACCAGCCTGATCAAGAAAGCTCATCAGAGACTCTACTTCCTCAGGCGGCTGAGACGAGCTCGTCTGGGAAGCTCAGTCCTCACCTCCTTCTACAGGTGTGCAGTGAAGAGCATCCTCCAACATCAACGTGTGGCATGGAGGCTGCACAGCTGCAGAAATATAAGCTTTGCCGAGAGTGGTGAAGGCTGCACAGAAATCTGTTGGAGTCAGCCTCCCCACCATCACAGACGTCTACACCTCCAGACGCAGGAAGAAGGCCACCTGCATCATCAAGGACCCCACTCACCCAGCACACACTTTTTGACCCACTCCCTTCAGGAAGGAGGTTGAGGAACATTAAGTGTAGAACCACTAGACTGAGGAACAGCTTCTACCCTAAAGCTATTAGACCCATGAATCTCTAACCAGAATAATCTCTGTGAAAAATCACATCATGTTGCTGCTGATCTGTTTCATGTTGATGTGTTCATGCGTGCTCATCTGCTCACAGACTCATGTTCGTGCTGCTGTTCAACGTAATGTTTTTATGCTATTAGTGCTTAGTGTATTTTAGTTGATGTTTTTCTTAGTTCATATCTTAGATGTTATCATTGTTTTTCTTTTACATTTTATTGTTGGATGTAACTGGGACCCTGTGTACATAATTTTATTCGCACCACATGTACCACATGTGGTGGAACAAGAATAAAGAATCTCTGACTCAGTTTCTTTTTATACTTGATATTTTTGCTATTTTTGGGTGCAGGATAACTGGGACCCTGTGTACACAATTTCGTTCCACCTCATGTACCACATGTGATGCGAATGATAATAAAGAACCTTGAAATGCAGCTGCCAGGAAAAAGACGAAGAGGAGATATATGGATGCAGTTAGAGAGGACATGGAGGTAGTTGGAGTGAGGACAGAGGATGCAGAGGACAGAGAACAGAGGACAGAGTGAGATGGAGGACTCGCTCGCTGCGAAGACTTCTGAAGAGGGAAAAACAGAAAGAAGATTTTTAAACACTTTTATTGCATTTTAAAAAAATTAAACAGATGTTTGTGATAAATTGTACATTTTTTAAATAGAAAAACACAAAGAATGCTTTTTAGTTCTGTGATCTTAAAACCAGATTAAAAAGTGAAATAATTTCTCACATGTTTCCAGGAAACTCCGAGGAGGGACGCCAAGATACAGATACACTGTTCTGAAAAATTAAAAATATATTTATTATAATGATTTATTTATTTTATTAACCTTTATTTTAACCTGGGCCTGAAGATAGCCTAACTGCAGGGTTTGGACTGAAAACATAACAAATCTCCACAAACACAGGAGAACATGTAGACTCCACATATAAAGGGTCCCAGGTCCAACCCGGGGATTGAACCCTGGACCTTCCTGCTGTGAGCCGTCAGCCTAATAATTATTTAGGCGCATTATTCTGAAGCATTAACAAATAAATTATAAGACACATTTCCCTAAAACGTGTAAATACATTTTATTATAATGATTTAGACAAACTACTGAAGAAAAAAACAATATTTTATTTATTAGGCACAAGCTAACAGAACAGCAGTCTTACATAAAGTTTTATTTTATTTTTTTACCGTTTTCCTGCAGATTTTCCATCCGAACCCGTCCCTCCTGAAACCCAGCAGACAGTCCGAAACAGATTCTGCTTTCTCTTTATAATCCATGAGGTTAAAGGTATCGAGTCGGTTATACAGAACAGAAGCTAAACTGTTAAACACTACACTGGTTCTGATGGGAAAAGGTCTCTGTCATGCTGAAGCAGCTAACGTCACTTGAAGCTAACCGGCAGCTAGCATCAGTTCAAGCTAACCGGCAGCTAGCATCAGTTCAAGCTAACCGGCAGCTAGCATCAGTTCAAGCTAACCGACAGCTAGCATCAGTTCAAGCTAACCGACAGCTAGCATCAGTTCAAGCTAACCGGCTGCTAGCATCAGTTCAAGCTAACCGACAGCTAGCATCAGTTGATGCTAACAGTGCTACGAGCGAACAGCGTCCTCAACAGGAAGCTAGTGTTATACAGTAACATGTCCACAACTTGAATTATACCGAGAACATCGACTGTAAAAAACCGTTTTTATCTCCCCAAAGCACTAAAAGAGCAAACAAGCTATTTACATTTGAGTGTAATCACTTTCTGAGTTCTTGTGTTATCTAAAACAATTACACTTTCAAGAACCTGCTGATTTGAATGTTCATGGAAGGTTTGAAGGGACACTGATAAAGTTGATTAACTTAAAGTTGACCAACTTGTTTGTTGATGATACCATCCATCCATCCATTATCTTTACCCGCTTATTCCATTTTGGGTGACGGTGGTCGCTGGTGCCCATGTCCTGCAATCACTGTGCGAGGGGCGGGGTACACCGTGGACGGGTCGCAAGTCCATCACAGGGACACATAGAGACAAACGAGACAAACAACCATTCACACACACCTGGGGACAATTTAGAGTTACCAATCAGCCTAACGTGCATGTTTTTTTTGGTCTGTGGGAGGAAACCGGAGCACCCGGAGAAAACCCACGCATGCACGGAGAGAACATGCAAACTCCACCCAGAAAGGCCCCTGGACCGGGGTTTGAAGTAAGACCTGCTCGCTGAGAGGCAGCAGCTCTACCAGTTGCGCCACCGTGCTGCCCCCGTAAATCAATATAAACAACAAATCCAGACCAGAATATTTTTTTTAAATTAAAGAACATCAGAAAAACTAAACCAAAAAAAGTTTCATGTACTGCAAAAACAACAACAGTAATGATGCAGACAGAACACTAACTGTGGTTATTCCAGTATTTTCCTCTGCAGTTTTTCTCTTGTGGCAGGTTGGCACCAATGAGCTGGGACTAATCTTGGAAACGAGCACCAGGGGGTATGTCAAGGCTGCTGAAGTGTTTCTTCTGACACTGGAACATTACATACCAACCTCTACAGTGACAGCCTACCTGTGTTTCCTGAAAACTGAATACTTACCAGATTATTCCTCTGTGTCCTCCTAGTTTCCCTGAGATTCTGATCCTGGACCTACGTACCTCCTGCATTACAGAGCTAAACTGGACATTAGAGATCCTGTTACCACCTGTGTCCCCCTGCTAACCAAAGAACCTTCTACAGTACCTGGAACCTGCCACCCTCCTCTCTGAGTTGATGGACCTGAATGGAATAATTCAATTCAATTTATTTATATAGCACCATCTTGACAGAAGTCGTCTCAGGGCACTGTACAAAAACATTCACATACATTATATATATATATATATATATATATATATATATATATATATATATA